GCAGGAATCCACATGGGAAAGAACAGGGACGTGATCCGGGTCACAGTGAGAAAACCCAGAAAGAGCAAAGGGAAAAAGAAAAAACAAGCCAAGGAGCAGAAGAGGAGGAACGGGAAAGGATGGGGATGGGTGAGGGTGGCAGTGGGGAGGATTGTTGTATACTTGGATGGCGTGAAAGAGAGAAGCCAGCAAAGAGAAGAGAGAAAACAGAAGAGAATTAGAGAAAGAAGAACAGAAAGAGAGAGGTGGAAGGAAGTGGAACGGAGAAACAGAAGGAGAAGAGAGACCAGAAGAGTCAGAAGAAGGGGAAGACACTGGAGAAAAATGGCTCAGGCTGAGGAAAAAGAGCAGCTGGGTGATTAATTGTATCTCTGCTGGCAAGTTCACTGGACTTTAACACCTCTGAAGCTCTCAGAGATGTCTGGGCCAGGCACAAGGAGAGGTTTATTCCCTGCTCTGCAGAGGGCACACGTCCCTCCCTGTCTCGCAGAGCATCTCCTTCTCACCCAGGAGACCCAATTTCTCCAGCAAGGAAGGTTACCAGCAGGCATCGCATTTATTTAAGAGAAAAGTAGCGCATGTAAAGCAAGCTGCAAAGATGCAGAGAAAAGCTTCCTGTTCTTTGCACCAACTCTGAAGGCCGCCAACGCAGCCATGCTCTTCCCAGCAGGAGGAAAAGCAGCTGCTCTGATTCAAGGGGAGGAAAGCAAGCGTGCACATGGAGCCAGTGCTGAACTCCACAGTTCTTCGTGCCTCCCCAGGTCGAAGCCGTGCAAGGGGACATCCCGGGGCGTGAGTACGGAGGCAGGGGTAGATGCACTGGGGTGTTTCTCCATGAACGGCTCCATAAAGCATCTCCTGAACAGGCTCCAGGCTAAAAAGGGACATTCGAAGGACGCCAAGAGAAGCAGGAGAAGGGCGAAAAATGCTGCTGATCTCATCTGTCAAGAGGGACGGACGCTCAGCTCTGTGACGCAGTGCTTGGCCTGGCACTTGGCCTGCAGCACAAAGGGCTGCATCTCGCAGCCCCCTGGAAAACTGGGGCAATTCACTCTGTTTCAGTTTTATTGCTGGGGAGGGTTGGAGGAGCCTCCCTGAGTATTTTAATCCCCCCTTTTTGTAAATTAGACTATTTCTATATCCCCAAGACGACGCTCACCAGGACCGGTTCCAGTGGGGCTGGGAGGAAAAGCCGATGGCACAGGGCTCTGCTGCGTGCTGGGGTCCGCAGAGCTGGCGGGATGAGGACCAGGCGATCCTGAGCAGGCGCAGCCACCGGAGGGAGGCAGCGGAGCAGAAAAGCTGGCAAAAAAACCCCTTGGACATGGCTGGAGATGGGAAACAGCCTGTCCAGAGCAAACTGGGTAGGAGAGGCACATCCATCCCCCCTGCACCAGGGCCTCTCCCGGTCCCCTGTAACTCCTCCTGCTTACAACCCAGTTGCGCTCAGGACCTGCATTCATCACATTGGACGGCTTTCTGCACTTCTGCAGCTGGGAAGAAAACCCAGGTCTGTCTTCTTTGTGCTGCACAAGTGGAAGTAGGAAGAGGTGAGGTGAGAGAATTCCTATGGCGACAGTCCTAGACTGAATCCCGCGCCCTTGGCCCCTCATGTCTAGATGTCGCAGCCCCAAATCTCGTCCTGATGTGGGTGGGATCCCCCAGGCTGCCCCAGCCCCTGGAGGAGGAAGAACGGGGAGGATGAGGAACAACGAGCCAGCGAGGGAAGAGGGATGTGACTTACAGCCACCAAGAAGGGGACGAGCACGTGCTCGTCTTTGCAGTGCCCAGTCCTTGCACGCCCTGTTTGCCTGCAGTGCCATAAAACACCCCCCGAGGCAGCAGTGGAGAGGTGACGCTTTCAGACGGTGAAGGATGATGCAATCCCCCAAAAGAAAGAAAACCACCTGAACGATGCTTCAAAACCATCACGCAAAGAGTAAAAGATCTCACAAGAAAAAGTGCGTGGTAGGGGTCATAGGAGCAAGCCCACAACTGGAACGATGGAAGACAGGCGATGGCCAGATCCAGTAAGGTCTCAGGGGTCTGGCCCAAGGCAGCAGGCGCTCAGAGGCCCCATTCCAGCGCACACGTGGCTGCAGAGCTCACTCTCTGCCACAGAGCGCTGTGATTTTTGGTCCTTTCTGCTCTCAGCAGCCTCGTTTGAGATGCGAGCGTGCAGGTCGGTCCTGCACTCCCCATGGGCCGTACCTGGCGCTGCGTGTCCAACCCGGGTCACTCGGAGAGAGGGTGGCTTCAGCTGCCTGGAGCAAGGAGTTCAGTGGAACAGGGGAACAGGTCAGCTACTGGGAGAAAAATCACAGAAGCTTCACTGAAAATGGCTGAAGTTACAGTGACTTTGCTGCAGGGCACATTTAAAGCATCCGCTGGAGACTCCCGTAGAATTGCCCTGTCGCAGAGCTGGCTCAACAGCACATCAGGACCTGAACTGTGTCTGCTGAGTTCAGTTAATCCTCCTTCAGTTTGTCCTTTTAGCCCCCTTCCCACCACCCCAGCTGCAAGGGAGGGAGGTGCTGACCTCTTCTCCCTGGGATCCAGTGACAGGACACATGGGAATGGTTCGAAGCTGCACCAGGGGAGGTTTAGACTGGACATGAGGAATCCTTTCTTTACCGAGAGGGTGGTCCAACACTGGAACAGGCTTCCAGGAGAGGTGGTCGATGCCCCAAGCCTGTCAGTGTTTAAGAGGCATTTGGACAATGCCCTTAACAACGTGCTTTAGCTTTTGGTCAGCCCTGAAGTGGGCAGGCAGTTGGACCAGATGATCGCTGTAGGTCCCTTCCAACTGAAATGTTCTGTTCTATTCTCGGCACAGCCTCAGCTTGCTCACCCCCTAGGGACAAGTGCCACCCTCCCAGGTGCAGGGCGGGTGGCCAGGCATAAGGACTAGGGGTGGAAGGAGGAGGGGAAGGCAGGCAGGGTGGCTGGAGGCTGTAGCAGACAAGGGAAGGGGGCTAAAAGGACAAATACTCCTCAAAACCAGCCTGGTAGGAGCATATTCCCCCCCAGCCGATGCTCCACTGCCAAACTGTCACCCTTTGAGGCCCTCTCGCACAGCAAGAGCAGGTAACACTATTTAAAGAGAACAAGATTACACAGCCTTAACCATCATTAACTGAACTCAGCAGTATCTGAAAGTGCTTCCAGCTTGTTTAAATTCCAGCTCAGTGAATCACTGTGAAACAAAAGCTTCTGCCGCTACCTCCTCCCTCGCTTATCTTACTTACGCCTGAAAGGAAAGCAGAGTTCAGGTTAAGGGCTGCCTTTATCAGGAACTTTTCACATTCAGACATGCAGAGATCTGATCTTCCGCTACCAGTGAGGCTGAAAAAAGGCAATAAAATCCCCAAAGGTCATAGGTGTGCAGAGGCTTTTAACCATTTCTTTAGATCACAAGATGGGAGTGCTAACAGGTGTGTTGGAGAGGAGGTTTATCGCAAGATTTGTGTCTCCCTGGGAGTTGTTCTTGCTGATGACAGAGGCAGGGACTTGGTAGGAGGGCGAGGAAGGGGTCTGGGAAAGCCGTGCTCTCGGTGGAGGGCAGCCGTCCCTGTACCGCACAAGCTCTCAGGGGTCTCCATTGCCTCCAGTCCGTCATATTCCCCTCTCGCTCTCAGGTAAGTACCAAGTACTACACAGCTCACACCGCAGCACCTGCCCCCTGATCCACACAGGGTGCTTTGCAGACCTCGAGGACTCCCTCCCTTCCCTCCCTGCAAGCCTCCTTCTCTTTACTCAACCAGGAGAAAGCCTCTTTCTGAAATCTAGACCGAATAAAAAAGTTAATCTAGGCAGCTTGATTCTGTTCTTTCCAGTGGGCATCACGTATTCAAGTCGTGTTTTCAGCGGAACAATTTATGGAGAACTCCAAGATGCAACCCAACATTTAAACAGTTCCAGGAGTCACTGAGAGGCTGAGTAAAAGGAGAGACGCACTTAGAACACCACTAATACCAGTCTCAAAAAAAAAGCACTTTACTATTGGTCACTTTTATTTCAAGAACAGAACAGCCTTTCATCCCAGCTCCCTCCATGAGTTGAGTGTGTAACTCAGGTAGCACAACAAGCAGCAGTCACACCCCGTAGAGCAAGAGCTCCAAACAAAGCAATCCCCATTGAGACACTGGCTTTGGGTTTTCCTCCTCTCCTTCCCTGGGTGAGAAGCATGAACAGGACAGAACGTGAACAGCTCCCTCATCCCGCACCTGCGTGGATGCTTCACTAGCAGTAATTATGCAAATAAATAAAGAGTAGTCAGTATCTTGCGGAGTGGAGCAGATGGTGACCACAGATCATCTAGAAATGAAGTTATTGCTATGTTCTAACTGACTGGACACTGCAGGTAACTCACTTGGTAACCACCAAGAGAGGCGACGGTCTCAGACTGTGTTATCAGTTCACCTTGGACAGAAAGGTGTGGGAGGACAAGACGGATCTTGTTTAATCTGCTGCCTGCCTTAAGGGCAGGAGTTTTCCCAGTGGGACCGAATCTTTGTCATTTTGATGGAAATAGGTGGGGGCAGGGGATATCATTGGCAGGCTCCCAAAACACTTGGAAATTCATCATGCCTGCCAGACTTTACCAAGGAGTGTACTCTTAGCAGCGTAGGTGAATACTCCTAAGTGTACTCACTGCTCCTGACTTGCAACAGGAGCTGCTGAGCCACCTTCACGTGATAAGGAACTGCAGGTTCAGATTTCAAAGACAGCAGGAGCCCAGTGTCACCCTGAGAACTAAGCCAGAGCTGCTGATTCATCGGGAAAAATCAAGGCAAATTAGAGCAGTACAACAAGGGCATGGGGAAGTACCGGTCCTGCCACACACACACACACACACACACACACACACACACACACGGTCAACCCGACACTCGATTCGACTTCCCTCTGCTGGTGGGACATGCTGTGACAGCCAGCATCCCAGTATCAAGTCAAGCCAGCTAAAACAAGACATAACATGAAGTCTAATACATATGAGACCACTTGTCACCAAAGATTACCAGGTAGCCCAAGGCTGATTACAAGTGATGAGCTCACAGCAGTGTCAGTGCCCACAGTGTCCCTCCCCACAAGGGGTATTGGCCAGAGAACATGAGTTTGAGAGGATGAGGAGGACTGCAGGAAGAACCTCAGACTGATGGAGAAGCAGAGGAGTCCTTCGCAGGACATCCAGAGACGTCTTTGTTAGGCATCATGCAGCTGGTTCTCTTTCAGGAGAATCTTTTCCCCAGGCTTGAAGGCGGGCATCCCCAGGTAAGGGCAGCTGGCACAGCGGAACGCATCCCCCAGGTAGCACTGGCAAGAGAAAGAAAAGCACCTTCTGTAATCAGGGGCAACTCTCAGTTCTCTCCCCCTGTGATACGTTTTTTCCAGCTTAAGAGATGACACGCTCCTCAGCACGTATCAGCACAGAAACCGCTTCCCTTCTACACCCTCTCAACACGTGCCTGGCTAGCGTGGTTAGCAGAGCTGTGCAGGGCACTGCGCTCACATGGAAGAAGCGAGTTTCCACCCCAGCCGGTGTGCTCGGGCACGGCTGCATGCTGGGCTCGGGCAGCCCCCTAACCACCACCAGGTCCCCCTGCGCTCCCGTAAGGTGATCTTCCCTGAGCAGATCACTGGTTAGCCCACGAGCAGGGAGGTAAAGGTTCGCTGTTCACTCTGACTCCTACAGGGGCGGCACTTGCGCTGGAACAGACAGCACGCTGTACGGAGCACGTGGGCACAGGGCAACAGGCTGAAGCTCTGCAGAAGCTGCACAAGCCATGTTAAGAAGCAGTAAGCCAGCTCAGGGAGCAGTCACTAGAGAACACAGCTCTTAGACACAAATCACGTACTGCAAACCACAGTATAGAAACAAAAATGACTATTTACGTTTCCACAGGCAGATTTGGGCTGTGAGCTCTTCTTCTCCTGTTCCAGCTCTTCAGCCAGGCCACATGTGCTGTAGAAAAATAAAGAAGTCACCTGCACCTTTCTGCTTAAAGGCTGTGAGTCGCCAGCACTTGTTTCAGCCCTATTCACACACAACAGCCCTTGCTCTGTCGCACGACACAGCTGACTCCGGGCCTCTCACGCTCTTCACTTTGTTCTTCAAAGTGGTTTGTATAACAAGTGTTGAAACACGCTCCAGTTTAAACTGAAGTTTAAACTGAGTGGGAAATGACTCTACAGCACTTGCTATGTGTGCTATTTCTCCTTGAAATCTGAGAAACCAGGGTTTTAGTCAAGGCTGGGCAAACTGTGTAGCCACCTTCAAGAAGACCGTTGATCATATCAGTGTGGTAATTTGTAGCAGTTTTGGTGTGGCTAGTCAATTCTCATTGTATTTGGATTTACATTCAAATAATTAACATAAGAAAGGACATGAACCAAGAGAACTATGCTCTGAAGAACAGCAAAGTGTCTACAACCTTTTTAAAATCCATCCAACTCTAAGGGTTTAATGTTACAGTTAAAAGGTTCACCGATATGCTAATCCCAGCACTGACCAGTTCTTGCAGGCTTTCTTTTTGCCCATTTCTTTGCAGGATGGAGCTCTGAGGGACGATGGATCTGGCTTTTTCAAATCCTCTGAGTCCAACAGCTCATCAGAGTCCAAAAGATCCTGAAAACGTACCATGGAAGATAACATGCAGAAGACTGATTTGTCAGTAGGGAATGACATCGCTGCGTTATGTTCAAAGAAATGGTGCTATCTGTAGCACCAGCATTAAAGCGCTGCAGCTGCGCCCTCTTATCCACATCTCCCCTCTGCCTTCACCACACCTCTGGGCTCTTAAGACCTCACATAGTAGATGAGGTATTTTGCCCTGGGGATGCTTTTCTGCCTCTTAAGTTGTAAAGCTTCCTGAGAGGCATGACCGAAATTATTTAGAATAGGAAAGAAGAGGAGAGAGAAGGAACAACAGCAAAGCCTCACAAACAAGACCAGATACCATCTCTTCATCATTCATATCATTGGCAGAGAGTGTCCACAGCTTGGCAGTCGCTGGGTCCACAGAGGGTTTTCCTGGAGCCAAAACAAAGGAAGAAATAGTAGTTACTCCAGCCTTTGCCCCATCAACTCCCAACAAATAGAGTTCAAACGACTTTGGAAAGCCCCACTTCACAGGTTTTTACCATAGTACTCCCTACCCCCGAGCCGTCTCCCAGTTCCAAGGGATGCTTGTCACCTGAGAGGCAGGGAATCCAGACATCGTGCACCACTCCTTACCTGAAGGACCAGCTTTCTTGGCAAAGGAAAGTTTGAGCTGACTTGAGGAACCCACTTCAAAATTGGGCTTCCTGCCTTCTATCTGAACAATGAGAAGGCCATTGCCTTGGTAACCCAAATGTTCTCGGACCGACTGGGCCTCCTCCGGGGTCAACGCTTCCTTTTGCAGCTGCAATGTACAATTTTAGGTTAACCTCATGCAGAACCCCTTATTTCAGCACCCGGTCCAGCATTCCAGTGAACCCAGACAATCGGCATTTTCAATCCTAAAGAAAAACACTACCTTTGCAGTAACTAAAGTTTGTGGCAGGCAGTGTCCATGCACGTTTACAGTAAACCAGGGTGGCTAAACGCCTTGTCACCCAGCAAGTCCCCAGGAATCACCACCTACATTTCAAGGTAACTGCACAAGGGAGTTGCTGGAAGCGGTTAGTACATACGTACCTCCTTCACTTCCACCAACCCAGAGAGAGTCAGAGCTGTGAGGAGTTTGGCTGCTGTCTTGATTCTGCTGTTGTTTCCTGGAAGACACAAAAGCAGGAAGTAGGAGGAGGGGAGAACGAGAATAGAGGTCACTGAGAAACCTGGAAGAGCAAGAGCTTCAGAAGGAGGTACTCAAGCCAAACCTCTGCTTTAAAATTGGGCCCTTTCTAGCTGACAGCGGGAACAAACCAAAAAGAGCGTAAGCAGCTTGTTCATTAAAATAACAGCCTGGGGTCACGAAGCCGTCCTAGCTCCAAATCTTTTCTATGATATGCCAAAACCTTCCTCAACCCAATTTACACCCACCAGAAAAAGGGAAAAAAAACCCACCCCAAAAACCCAAACAACAAAATCCCCCAACACATTTTCACATATTAAAGTGAACAACTCATGAAGTTTTCAAAACACGGACTCCTAAATGACCATTACATTCAGAAACATAACATTCAAGAGCCTTGTTCTCGCAGGCAAAAGCTATTACAATCACTGTTTAATCAAAAACTCATTACAGGCTTCTTCACTTGGGCACAGGATTGTGCTGAACAGAATCCATTCACGCTCTCTCGCGAGTCCCACTTGCACTTTATTCCAAGTCCACCAAATTCCAGCCTGCCAGATGTGACCTTGGAAAAAGGAAACCTCATCTACTCCAGACTTTGCATGTTTGTTCTGTCCCAGAAGTGTTCCCCCCTGCCCCTAAGGTACCACTTGCACCACAGAGCCACTGCCAGCTTCAAAGCATTGGCAAGTCTTCCCAACCTGAAGAGGGCATTTCTGCTGCCACTTACATCACCATTTGCAGCACTGTAGATTGTGCCAACAGAAACACCGTCAACATAGATGCTTCTGTTCTTAGCAGGTGGCATATTATTTCCCACTGCCATCCTGAACCAGCTCCCTATGCCAGCAAGGTTTGATTGCAGGTCAAGTATAAGACAGAGGAAGAATCTTGTGTTCACCTCTGTCCTGGTTTCGGCAGGGATAGAGTTAATTTCCTTCCTAGTAGCTGGTACAGCGCTGTGGTTTGGATTTAGGATGAGAACAATGTTGATAATGCACCGATGTTTTAGTTGTTGCTGAGCAGTGCTTACACTAGTCAAGGACTTTTCAGCTTCCCGCACTCTACCGACTGAGCAGGCTGGAGGGGCACAAGGAGCCGGGAGGGGGCACAGCCAGGACAGCTGACCCCAAACTGGCCACAGGGACATTCCATACCACGTGACGTCATGCCCAGTACATGAACTGGGGGAAAGCTGGCGGGGGAGGCCGCTGCTCGGGGACAGGCTGGGCATCGGTCGGCGGGTGGTGAGCAATTGCATTGTGCAACACTTGCTTTGTATATTATTATTATTATTAGGATTTTATTCTGATTTCAATTATTAACCTGTTTTTATCTCAACCCACGAGTTTTCTCACTTT